AAGCATCTTCATTAGTCTAGAGACTGGGTCAGTAATTGAAAAGACTTACCGCTTCAGCTGACCAGTTAGTGCGGTCAATAGCAGGGTTTAGAGTATCTCTCCACCGCTTAGCACATTCTAAAAAAACGTTTTGATGAGCCAGTGCACGTTGGATCCAAGACCGATACTTACGGTCACTGTTACGAGTCTGAACCACAGAGGCAACTAAAGACCATCGAGTACCGTATTTCTCGATGGCCACAGATAATCTCTCGTCTTCTTCGGTGGACCATCCACCTTTGGAGACGTCAGAGGCAATATTGGAGACCCATCGTTTTCGGCAATCTTTGTTGGTACGATTGGGAACGTGTTTTGCGATAGCATGCCATCTAGAAGGGTTAGGATTGCCAGGGTCCTCTGTGTGGAACGTGGAATTGTCAGTGTACGCGACAATGCGTGGAACAGACTAGTACTGACCCTTGTCAACAGCATCTCGAAGAAGTCTGTCTTCTTCAGCAGTCCATGAGCGACGTTGTCTGTGAACCATATCTTTAAGACGCGTAGAAACGGGATGAGTAACCTAAGACCACTAAGCAGACGTTAATAAGGGACCTATATAGCGATGTCAGAGGGGCTTACGAAGGGGCCTCCAAGGATAAGGAAGGGGAGACGGGTTGATTTGGGGGGGACAAGAAAGTAATTGCAGCTGACTGGGGACGAGTTATGTATGGCGCATAGGTTCTTATGAGAAAGTGAAAAAATGAATAAGACATCGGACCGCGGCCGCACGATCTAAGATATCACAAAAACTTTCGTAAACTCCTCCATTAGGCCATGGCCGATACCGCAGGACAAGCTTAAACGGCCGTTGCCATTTTTCTCTAGGCTCCAATCCTCCTTCCAAAGACGGGCGGGGGCGGTCCATATGTGACATCTTATTTCTCATTGACATCCCGCCGGTGACGAATTTTCAAAACAAGCAAGATATCTGCAGGACACTTGAGATTCCAGCTTCGAACTAGAGAGTAAAATTAGTTGTATACTAGTCTTGCCTTTTTGATACATACATTCTGCGGTGACCGTTTCTGAGAATTCCGTGATCTCTGGAGTTTGAGTGATTACAGACGTGCGATATGGATGGAGGAGCTCGTGTTTGAAACGGTGACTGGGTGATCCTAACAAAGTGCTTCAGAGTACCGTCGACGCGGACTAGTCGACGTCCACTAGTTATATTCCCTGTTTTGCACCTTGGTCCTAAAGTCTGGAGTTGAACTGGAACGAGATATTGTCTAAGCCCTGGGCCAGAACAATTCACTTATCGATGATTGGCGCGCATCTAATGATGAGCAATATCCTAGACTCGACCGTGCCTTGGCATTCGATGGTCGTCACTCATGTTGTATTCTGGTAAGGACTAGCCTTTGCGATAGTAGGTGCACATTCACTAAGTACTAGCACTACACTGTGTGCGCCATAGTCTCTATCGGGACGCAAGTGCATAGATTGAATGCGTTTTTATATAACACTCACCTCCAAAAATATATTTGAACATCACCGTTGACCATGCCGTTGACCATATCCACAAGATATCCATTTATCTTTCCAATCGCCCGTAATCTCCGTGATTCGAATCCATGCCTCGTAGGAAAGAAACACATAAATACGACGCCCTAAGATTCCTCAGTACTTTAGTCCAAAAAGACTGCCCCACCCGCCTCAGGCCGCCCGCCGGCGGCGGAAGCCTCTGAAAGGGAGGGCGGGCGGCATCAAGCGGAACGTTTGAGTTGGTCACAACAAGGCATAACAGTTCTCCCACATATGATGCGATACTATAGATATTCAAAAGCAGTGCACAGCAAATTCTGTTTTCTTTTCCGTTTTGTCTCTCCTGACCGCTTCACCACCGAAAACCGTTAGATTGAAAGCTAGATATGTGGATACAATTGGCCGTTGTTGATCTCATAGAAAGAAACACACAGACGGGTCACGGCACCTCCCAAGCGTATCATAGTACTACTAACCGACATGAACTCCTTCGAACACCCTGGGCCGTAGGTGTACGCATGTTTCTCAGTTCAAATAGAGATGATTTTTTGATAAGAGCCTGAAAGTAGAAGAAAAAGGCATTGTTAAACACTACGACGAGTAACCGGTCATACACCGTTTACTGCAGAAGACGGTAGGACGAGTAAAACCATTTATTTCCAGTGATCATCCATCATTAAAGGCTACTATGTATTCCTCTGGTGAGACTGATGGTTTTTACTTAATAATTTTTGCCAAGACATGTTAGAGGTTCGGACTTACCCCGAGTTTTAAGTTTCCTTGTAGTCCCGTTGATATGTCCTGGAATGGATGTTTGAGACATGCAGCCTCCATCGTGATCGGCATGGAGGATGTAGTTAGTTACCAACTCTACTTATCAGTATCAAGTTTAAGATTGGAAAGAGCCGCACAGAGAGCCTTTCGCCGTTTCCTCAAGGAACCATAAATGGGAGATCCTACGTCAGTGGCACAGTCCTCTGTTCAATACCCGCAAGTCTTGATTAATTCTGAACCCAAGTATGGTAATCCGAAGCATGAGGCATTTTAAAAGTACACCGAAATTTTACGATGGCGATTCTCGTCAGTGCGTTCTCTGTCGGAGTCCGACGTCGAGTTGAAACTGAAGGAACCAAGTAAAAACACATCGAAATACAGAAGTCCCCGAAATTCTTGTTGCTACGACATATTTTTGACAGGCAGTTTTTCAACCATATGGGTGACCTGCATATAGTATTTGTTGAATTTATACCCAGAGTTAATATCGTTTCTCGAGCCATATACTTACTGGAGTGTCGCACCAATGGGACATGGCTCAGTCGTCTATGGAGAAATTGTTATCGGGAATATCTACTATTTCTAGAAGCGCCGTCCGAACTCAACGGCGGATGCTTGTGATCATTATGATGCATTACATGGAGCGACCAAATACAGCTCTAGATAACACAGCGGCACCAAGGCCAAGCCGGTATCTCTGATTCATGGAATTAGATAGACTCTGTACAGCTTATCATTGTTATGCATCGTCTTCACCAATTTTTTCTAGAGCGCGATGGTCACGCCACAGCCTTTTACCTTTCTAGGCCACTTACCGACGGGACCATCCACGCCAAGTGGCGCAATTTTGTGTATCTCTTCAGACCTTCGCTCGAGTATTCTTAGCCTTTTAAATTTGTTATCTCAATGTCTTCTCGCCAAGCTGATTGACCCCCTGATCTGCCGTTGTCTATATCATTATAGGTAGGCCGACACCGGTGACACTGGACATATCGATAGAATCATTGAATCAAACACGGGAAGTGGCAGCTTTGGTGATTCTCGCGTGCTTTCAAATACTCGGTGTAGCCATTCTGTTTTGAATAAAACTTGGTACCTGTGTATCATTATATTTAGTATGCTGATGTGTACTTCCAATCTCTTCGGATTATGGTCTGTTACGCTAGCGACCAACAATGTGTGCTGAACCTGACCGGTGTGCGAGTCTACAAAGAGAATTCGGGAGAGAGAGTATTGAAATAAATGGCTCGATTTCATTCAGCATTCATTGAAATTTAAAACAATGATACTTACAAAGAAAGCGCCGGAAACGAAAATTGACTTCAGAAAATGAGCCCATGTAGCATCAAAAAAATGACTTGGTATAAAAATATGAGCTTTTGATAACCTATAATATCGGAAAATACATTGAAAGATGTCAAACTGGTAGATTGCGTCGAATAACGAACGTGTGGCGACTTGAGCGGAATTCAGCTGGTGATCGCATTAAACAGTAATAGGTACCGCAATGGTATGATTAAACAGCGAGTCTAAGTATACCGCTTTTTTAAATCACTATAAAGGTGGAAGACGATACGTGATTTGCAGAGGGGGAAAAATTGTGATCTTACCAGAGCTGCCGCCACCGTGCGGCACATTGAATTTCCGGATCCCACGCCTTCTGAAAAGTACAACCAGTTTTTTCCCCCGAGATCCCTCCATTTCGCAGTTCATCGATTCTCGCACAATGGATAGAAAAACGACCTTATAGGCTACAAAACTCTGACTCTCAAGAATAATCATATCGATCCACATCAATATAAAATCGATATAAACTCCGGTCCTCTCCAACTGTCCAACCACTCAAAAAATCTCCCTCGAATTTTTGTACACACCCCTCGCCAAAGTGACAAGTCGAATGTGGTTCAGGTGATCCATATTCTTCGAATTGGTCGACAGTCGTCAGTCCGACTCGGGGCTCGGAGCTCGGGGGACTTCAGGCCCAGGGTTCGCAAAGAGTCGAAGATCTCTCATGTCATGTCCTAGTCTATCAATATTAACCTTGCATTGCTGTGAGCATGTGGGGAAGGGAAATAAGGAAGTAAACTCACCTATCTGTCGATCAATCAATATGATCTTCCCAATCAGAATTCTTGCATTTGATCGTTAGTTCCATTGCATGAGTACGTTGACTGCGAGTGTGTTTCTTTCTATAGGTTATTTACATGTGAAGATGTGTAGCACAGACCAACGAGGTACTACATACCACCAGTAGAGTCAAATTCAAACTGGAGAGACTCGGACTTTGGCTAAGGACACATCGTCAACCTTCCTAACTATCGATCTCGTAAGCTTCTCTGTTAGGTTCAGTACTTGAGTTGAGCCACCGAACAACGACTCATGATTGGAAAAAGGCCCACTCTCTCGATCGAGAACATCACGATCATCGGCCAATGAATGCCAATAACCAATCACAGCGTAGACTTTTGTTTTCTCTTCCGTTTCCGTGTCCGATATGATCTCCCTTTTAATTCGTTTTCCCCAAGCTCGAGATAATCGTAGATCTATTAGATCAAATCAAATCGCAAAAATTCAGTCATCGAGAAGTAGTCAAAGGTTGCTTAGTACTAAGCATCGGTGACTGAGAGGTGTCCTTCAGATACGACGTCATCAAAGCTTGAGAGGGTCTACGTATCAGGCTTTCAATGGTGAATACGAGTAATTCCCTGGTAGTATATCGGTTAGTACACGCGCCTGTCATAACATGCATAACAGTCCTGTCCGGTGCGCGCGAAAGCTGGGTTCGACTCCCAGCCAGGGAGATTGATCATGGGCCAGTATTTTTTACGGTTTTAGATTCTCTCAAGATCAGGGTTTTTTGAACTTCAAACATTGAAAAAGTAGAGTGCACAAAGGTTTATGATCATTAGAGCGGATATGTACATATTCAAATTGAAACTGTCACCGTGTCACGATCGTTACATGGGCTCGTGTCCCATGACCAGCGTCACGACATGTCCGAGGAGTGCGTTGACGGTCATTGCAACTTGACGTGCACTTGGAGCGAAAAACTTGATCACAGCGCTTGTACAAACAGTCGTGAACGATTGAGAGCTTGCGATCGCAAGGTACTATACAAGCTTCAATCTCAGGTAAGCGTTAATCATCACAGTCGTTCCGTTCGATGATCCGTTTGAGAGCTGAATTTCCACTCTCAGTCTGAGGATCCATGTAACGAGACAAAGAAAGCACTAACAAAGACGTCGACACGGTCGTAAACAACAAGTCTAGAAACAAAAAGGCTTAAACATCACTCAAAAAACACAACTAGTCATTAAACAGCTAAAAGGAGGGAAAGGGAGGGAGGGAACGGGTGGGCGCAGAACAACAACAAAATCAAAAAAAAAAAAAAGAAAGTCATCACAAATCGAAAAAAAAGCAAACAAGAACGAGGTATACATGTAAGTAAAAAAATAGCAAAGAAGAAAAAGAGATACGTCCAAATCGAAAAAGAACATTCGTCCATGCGTCCATTTATAAGTATGTGTGCTGATGCGTGTGTATATATGCCTTTACAATAAATTACTTTTCTTTTTTTCTTCTTTTTCACTTCCCCCCCCCAAAGCCATTTTTTTTTTCCTTCCTTACATGATCACGATCGAACAAAAAAAAAAGGAAAAAGGGGCTTTCCGGTCGATCGTAGATGATACAACTCAAGTACTTGCTGCGGTCGTGGTCACAACCGCGGCGCTCGAGCTCGAGCTACTGGAACAGTCGGGTATCTCGATGTTCTTGAGGGTTCGGCTAAAAAAGAAAAACGAATTAGAGGGAAAAAGGGTAAGTAAACCGCAGAATCTCCAGTGTCTCATAATATAACGGGCACTTACTTTGAATAGAAAAGACCCCTACGTAACAAAAAAAAAAAACAAGTCCATCATATCAGAAACAAACCAAACAAAGGAAGGAAAGAAAGACACATACCACCATCCTTCAACACCACCAAACTGCTTGTCCTTCCATGGCTCATCGAAAAACTCGAAAAAGAAGTACTCGGTCCCGTTCGTGTTCGCCTGACACACGAAAGTATTCAAAAACGTTTGCAAGTTGGCTTCACTCGCGATCGAAGGTCCGTTCGATTCGTTCCCTGCGTCCGATGAAGCCTGACATATGTTAACCCCCCAAAAAGAAAAACAAAAAAGGTGTATACGAGAATTGAACCAGTGAGCAAAAAGTTGTTGGGTGTCATATGATTATAAGAGCCGAACTCACAGTAGGCCAACCAGTTTCAGCGATCGACATTTGTGGGTTGTTCGAAAGTCCTTGAGCCAAAGCGACATCTTGTTCCTCGAAGAAATCCCAAGTCCATCCAGCGGCTACGTCGACACTGACGTTGGCGAACCATGGGTGGACGTTGGCCATCTGTGTTTGTTTTTTTTTAAAAAGTATCATAAGATAAGGTTATTTTAGAAAAAGAGCATCAAAAAACAATAGACAACGTACACCATAGTCAACCTGACCCAAAAGCTCCTTGTTAAAGTAAGACCCAGCGTCCGCATTCCCAACTTTGAGCGAGACTCCAAGATCGGTCAACATGTTCCTAGTGTCGGTGACGTTGACCATTAAAGCCTCCGCACCCTGGTTTCCAACGGCACTGTCGGGATCTGATGATCCACCCCCATTGGCGTTAAGGTAACTTTTTTTTTAAATTTGGAAAAAGAAAAAAACATTAGGTTGAACTTCATTTGGGTTTTTTTCTCCTAACGAAATTAAGAAACTAACGTACTTGAGAATAAACTCATTTCCTACAGTGATACCAGCAATATGATCGGTACCATAGCTCTGGACAGCCGATTTGAGAATGTCTCGTTGACGCTCATAGGCTGCACCACCATCAGTGGCAGAGGGATAGTTCCCGAGGAAGACTTGCATGTTTACTTTGGTTTGTTTGATGGCCTCGAGCTAGATTAGATCGCGACATGAGATATGGAAAGGTGAGACGGGATGAGAGAATGGAATCAGAGGGCTGTCAAGCAAGCAACCAAAACAAAAGGGTTCTGTTGACTCACAACGAGAGCGGATTGATTACAGTCAGCTCCATACAAACGGATTCGCTAAGTTAGAAAGAAGGAATGGATAGGTTAGTCCTTTTTTTCTTTCTTCGTACTAAGGCTAAAAAACAGCTACAAGAGCAAAAAATTGAACTCTCACCGTAGTCAATTGAGAAAGCAACTGAATATCAGTGATGACGTCCTCTGAAAATAAAAGACGAAGCGAGCAAAGAAAATAGATGAAACATTTCAGTGATCATGAGTTTCAAAAATAGCAACAAATTATAGACGGTCGTGAGGACGCGCGCTCGCACACACCTAAGTTAGCTCCACAGTCGGGTAGCTGGGCACCTTCAGGCGTGTAAGCAATGCCATAGAAGGACTGTTTGAGTCTCGAGTCTTTCACGAAAGTGCTAGGATCGTTAGGATCGGTCTGTTTGACGACTCCTGCGGAGGTGGACTTTGAAGAGGACGACGAGGAACTGTTCTTTTTTGAGACGACAACCCCAACGACGATGGCTATGACGATAATTATAGCAGCAGCAACGACACCGATGACCTGAAAATCAGTAAAGATAATAATCGTTCACAAAATGAGTACCCGAGCCAAAAACACAAAAGGTTAAAGTGGCAGGGAAACGACATACAATCCACCTCGACCTTTTGCCTGATCGGTCGTTCTTTTCTAACCAAGCCTCGCCATCGGTCATAGGTTGATTCGCCATTTCTTGTCTTCTATCACCGAAATGAGCCCTGTGAGGACCTCCTGCTGCTGCTGCTGCACCTAGACCGACGCTGGCGCCAGCGCCAGCACCAGCACCAGCACCGACAGCAGCTGGGTCACGGAACGGAGAATGGACATCCGCCTGAGAGTCATTGCTTAGTTGACCGTATCCTGAGCCCGAACGAGAGGAAAGAGGGATGTTGTCAGAGGAAGAATGAATGCCTGAGAGACGGTGTGCCGGCTGTGAAGAGAAATTGTGTTAAGCATCGCGCGCGCAGGCGTACAACAGCCGCATGGAAAGCAACGAATAACGAAAACATACAGGCACTGCATCGTAATAGTCTTGAAGGTCGTAGTTGGATTCGTGACCCGGCTGGTCTCTGTAGGGAGCGTACATGGTTGAAAAGGAAGGAGCGGTGCTTGCGGTTACACGCTCCAAACACTTGTTGATCACTGTATAAAAATAGCTTAGTCGGTCTAAGTAAAACGACTGCGCATTGGATGTCCTTAATTTGGCCCTTTCATGTTGTCGCTGCGGTACCTTTTTCTCGACCTCTCCCTCAATCTATGCAACAAAATAGACCGTCAAATCCTCACGATAGCGCGCACTTGTCCCATGAATATCTCGCTGACATGTACTTACATCGTTGCCATAGCCAAGTGTCAATCACGTCATACATAGCAGTCGTGGTTTACAGCAGCTTCAACTTGCCATATGTTGTCTTCGTCGAACAAGCTCAGGCTGGCAAAGAAAGACAGGGTAGCTGTCACCATGGACATGGACATCCTGCATTCCTACACCAGTCTCGGACGTTTGAACAGGCTACATTCGACCCCTGAAGCTACAGTGACTCGCTTACAGCAACAACGACACTGAAGAATCTGGACAAAAAATCCCTTTGTTCCAAAAACGAACCAGTCTTTCTGTAGCTTAGGCTTCGAATTCAAAAACGATTCCCCGCTGGGCCAAACAATCCACAGGTTGCACAGCGACGACGACAGCTTTGCAAAAAAGCGACTCAGTAATGACGACATGCAGTATACACTTTTACCTTCAAAACAGAGCTTTTGTGTGCAGACAATGACGTTGTTTTTGACCTCTAATCTTCCTTCGACAGTCTCTTGTTCCGAAAAGGAATCCAAACAACACGTTTTTTCTACCTCCTTTCCCCTGTCTTTTCTCAGCGGCGATAGAGAGGTCCTTGCCATGGTTCCCAACTTCGCATACACGAGCCAACCACGATGCAAACAACAGCACCCTTGTCTTTATTATTGTCCATTCCTCTTCCAACAAGGTTCCATCCGCCTACGTTCCGATTCGAGTACAATCTATACGACTTTGCTAACAGAGAGGGGGGGAAGCAAACGGACAGATAAGCAAACGAGTAAAAAGTGTCATGATAAGCCCATCCAAAAAAAAAAGAAATGTATACATGTATAGCTCGTAAGTAAGTAGGTAAGCAAATAAGTAAGTACGTAGGTTGGTTGGTAGGTACACAGCACGATAAAAACAGTCCAGTTAATTATCTATGTAAAGTAAGAGAGGAGAACGGAGAAAAAACGAAAATATCCACAAGTGACGACACGATATTGAAAAGAGGGACCAGATGCATGGAAGGAAAGGACTGAATCGAGCATGGGACGTCGTAAAAATAAACTTAAAAAACGAGGACAGATAAAAAAATAAAAGGTAAAGAGTATGGATATAAAAAAAGGAAAGAAGCATCAAACCCCAGGGAAAAAATAGAATCATCTTCACAAAACACATACGTATTATACATTCTCCGAAACTTGCTTTTCTTTTGACGGTTCCAAAATGCTTCCTTTCGACAACGGCGCCGTCGAGGACGCTCGCTTCTGCTTCCTCAGGACCCTCCGTTGTTCTCGCTCCGTATTCGACTCCGATGACGAAGAAGCCGCTCGCCTCCCCGATGGCAACGTCTTGCTTCTCGTAACGCCCAAAGCACCACCACCCGTTATCGTCGTCGTCCCAGCAGTCGAATCTTCCGGTCTCGGGGATGGACTCTCTGTAACGGGTGACAGTCCACCT